CAGCTATTTATACCAGACACCCATTACTTGGAAGCAGTTTGTCGGTCAGAGTCGAAGACCGCTTAACTTTCCGAGACTCAGTGGCAGCAGTATCTCAAATATTTCTGATCCAGTGCCCGCATCCTGCTTTCGCAGCATATAACATTAGTTTAAAACAAAGTTCTTCTAGCCCTAAGTCATTCTTGGTCTTCAGCCGGTGGGTTGAGCAAGTACAGTGGTTTTTCCTTCTTTCCAGAAGGATGTGTGAAACTAGTGTTCAAAGATATTATGACGTTAGTCGTGTGAGTTTCTAATTGGCCTTACGGTCTAAATGCGATGAATGGCGAACGGGACGTTAATTCATCGTTAAGAGGAATATGTCCTCAGGCAGTTGTGACGATAGTTGTCTTCTAGCAGCCAAGGATAGAGGCAGTGGGTATCTGCACAGAAGAGGGATTGGGTACCGGATAGCGCGTACAGCTTTCTGTGGCCTGCTGATCTTCAATCGTTGCAAGAACTACACAGGGCGAAATGCTTTGCCAGGGCTCCATCAAGCGGACAAGAACAAGGATTGCGTAAATCAGGACGGTAAGAAGAAATCAAGACCCCCCTCCCCGTGAACCTGAAGACTAATCTAGGGCGCAACTGAAATGCTTCGAGCATAGTTGCAGAAGCAGAACAGACGGAACCGCCATCAAAATGGCAGGACCAATTTCACTGTTGATGGTAAGTTCATAATACGTTATTTTTAATGCTAAAATTTTTAGTACATTTATTCTAAAAGGTTCTCGGCTTTGAATGCCCCAAACTTATGTTCTACATAAATCTAGAAACAAACCCATACACGACTTCGTCGGATCATTTAGCAGATTATCAGTTCTATTGGTCATTTTTGAGACTTCTGAATTCGATGGTTTAAACGCCATGTTTGCATCGGTTCAGTTTCCTTGTATTTAGATGTCGCTTCGTGCGAGCGAGTGAAATTACCGAGAAAAGATAGCTGTGCCTGAGTTTACTGAGGGAAGTTCCAATGGAGCTAATTCATAAGAAGACTCACCATGTACAACCGCACGTGACAAGGGCAGATTATAATCAGACCTTCCCGCCAGGCCGGATGAGAAGATCAAACGGACGGGATTCTCGATAACAAGGAAGAATAATGGATCAAATAATCGGTTAATATAGGTTTGCCTTCCATATCTTCACGCATTGGTGGCATGCCTGTCTTACTGCCAACCCGAAGAACCCATTATGGGTT